AATTCTTTAAAGACAGCGCCCGCGATGGACTTTGGCAGGTCTCAGGGGTCAAATTTGTTAGAACAGGTGGCCAATGAAGCTTTAATCAAAAAAAAGTAGGAAAAAGGTGTGGAAGAGAGTGAAATAAGACCCTACGAAGTTTAAGGCATGTGGACGAGTTTCGCACACCTTTGGTGAGTTCTCCAATACACGTTGCCGCCTCGGAACTCCAGAAACTTAGCGTTTATCAATGCCAGCAAGCACTGACAACTGTTAACCAGTCGGGGCGGGATTAACAGGGAAGGAGGCGTCAGCTCAGCCTTGTTGACTCCGCCCCTCGTCAACCAATCGATTTCGAGCCGCAAGAGTGGGATTTCCGCTGTGGTTGCGTACTCCGCGTTCGTTTTCATTGGAGGGTTTTTTTCACTTTGGTTGATCGCGGGGACGCATGCCTTTAAGGTCCGGGTCAGGCGGTCGGGGTCAGCTTACCTGCCTGAATGAAAAGGAGAACGAATGCATTGGAAGGAAGCTTCCGAGGAGCATAACAGGTTCATTTCATCGAAATTGTGGTATTTTGGTGAAGGGAACTCATGCCGTGCTATTCTTTTGTATTTCAGCAGTGATCAGGCGATCAAGGCGATTTTGGGAGGGCCTCTTCAACCAGGAATCGCAGGAAACTCACGCTAAGACTATTTTATTAATCTTTTTGAGGCTGCTTTCACACTTCAGCACTTCCCACTTGCTCTCTTACTACAATACTGCTTTTACACTCGAGAAATCTATGAACTTTTCTTTGCTCATGTGCTGGTAGGAATGTGTGAAATGTGAAAGCAGCCCCGCTCCCGTTGTTAAAGGCACATTCCGAGATAAGCGAATGGGCGGGGACTCACATCGAGTCATTTGCGCGTCCATCCCACTATTGGAGATGAAGAGTAGGGACGCATTCATAAGGACACATTAGCTGTGAGTTCCCGCCCATCTGATTATCATGAAAGATGTCATTAAGTGGGTTTTCAAAACAAGGACTATTATTCAATATTAAAAGACAGTCTGTTCTCCCTGTGTCACTTCCAGATTTTGAAGTTTTGAGTGATTTCGAAGTCTTCAATTCAGTTCGATCAATGGACAATCTGCGAGCCTGAACAAAATGTGGGCGCTGCATCTGCGCCAGGTGGGTAATTGACGCGTTCTGTCTTGCTTTGAGGAAATCTTTGTTAATATGTGAATGTTGTCAAGGCCAAGAGGAAAAACGGTAGTATGTTCTAAGGTAACGTTCACACTTCGCGATCAACGCACGTCAACGCGCTGCAATGCGCTGCAACGAGCGTCGATACGCTACAGTCGCAACAGCGCTTCAGAGTCATGGACACGAACGCAACCGCAGACGGCTGCCGCCGATAGAGTTCCCATCTGCGATTGATGCGCACCGGCCACTGGTATTTCAAGACGGTATGGGGGGAACAGGATGGTAGGTGTTGCCTAGTTACGCAGAACTGGTATCGATCGAGGCTGGCCGTCTGCGGCTGCGTTCGCGTCTATAACTCCGAAGCGCTATTATAATTGTAGCGCGTCGACGAGTGTTTCTACGGTTACAGCGCGTCGACGCGCGTCATCGCGAAGTAAGAACGCTGCCTAAGAGTGGACCCACAGCACCCTACCCTCCTTCCACGCTGCGATTATCTAGCTTTTTGCCGTGCCCATTCAAACCGTTGATTTCACTCGTTCTAATGTTTTCAGGCAATCGCCACCAGTGCGGCTGTCCGCAGCGTCGGCGAGCTGATTGTGCTCCTTAACCCAGCTGTATGTCATCATCGCCAAGGAGGACCGCCAAATCAGCATAGGTTGGTCATTTGCTGCCTTGAGGTCATGGTTTCTTCGTACTCACCTGTTAACGAGATTGGGGGGGGGGAGCGCTTCGCTATTTTGCTATTTTCTAATTATGATGAGATCTGTAGAGTCTTGTGAAGCGTGAAATAAGTCTATGCTAGTGCTTTACAAGGCTGACGGGTTTCTAGAAGGCCGAAAAATGTTCCCCAAAGCGGAACTGCGCCCAACCTTTTCTAGTTCAAGCATCTTTCTGCGGTTCACATTGGTTATTCTGCTATTCCAGCAGTTTTCGTCAATCTGTCAAGCCAATACTAGCTTTCCGTAGACGAACTGAATTGAAGTCCCAGTCGTGGAGGAGGCCCACATCATCCAGGTGAGAAGTTTATAATTTACTGGAACCATACAATGTTCTTAGTTCGACTTTCCGCGTTTTCGTACACTTCGCATATAACATTTTGTCGCTGTTCCAACGTAGAGCATTTTTATGCAATAGTTCGTCAGATGACGGTAATCCCCATTTTGTGCAGCAACTTCTTTAGAGACAGTTTCTGCGATCAAGTAACCCACAAAATGCCTCCATGCATTTGGTGCACTTTTCGAAAACAATATACAGTAAAAGTTCACTTTGCAAGGCGGAATGCGTTTTGGCGCTGCTTTAGTTCAGCAGTCGTGCAGTCGATGGTGCGAAAGCTAGTCATGTTCAGCTTACCGCAGTCCTAATTTCGAGCTCAGATTTTTGGAAGCGATTTTCTGTTTCGTTGTTCTTGTTTTTCGCTTTGCTCTTCTTCTTCTGAAACTTAATGGCTTTCAGTACTGGAAGGTGCGAAGAAACGATATGTGAGCCAGGGGCTGCACAGAGGCCACAAGGTGTAGTTGCCAGCGCGTCCGGAGAACTGGTCCAAGCCAAATCGCCTGGTATAGTGAGGCTATGTGGCTGTCAGGTAGGGGTTTTGTGTTCTTGAAAATTCGGCCTATTACTACCCCAAAAGTCGAACATTTTCTTTGCTGAAACTTTGCCCACAAAGTTTAATTCGGTGTCCTGGTCACGAATATGGGAGGCGGTCGTATGGCGTGCCCGCCAGCTGTCTTATTGTTTCTGGGACGCTGCTGGCCGTAATTGCCACCTCCACCGAGCCTCTGCAGCCGTTCTCTTGGATCGGACAACTCGTCCAAGCCAATTATCGCCTTCATTCTCGTGCCAGCACGGGTAAGACGCCAAATAGACGCTGAATTGCGAACTGATGACCTAACTTCGCACACTCGTCTTTTTGAACTAATTTTCGACTTCTTTCCCCCAACCCTCCACTGCGAACCCCTACTACAATTCTGCTACTCGTAAGTTTTGTGCAGTTGCTTAAATACTTAATTTCCATGCTGTTTGCTTGCTGGAAGAGCATAGTTTCATGACCATTATAGGATCATGACACATCTTCTTTTCGGTTCTCACACAGCTCATTTCTCCTTCTTAAGGGTTGCCCGAAAAGTTCCTGACATTTTTTTACCTTTGTACAACACTCATTAATCACCCACCGTTCTGCACCTTATTTTCATTTTTTTCACCCGGTATTATTCAGACTTTCGTATCATGTCGTCACTGTGACAGTTCAGCGAGACATTTCTCACTTCGTGTATTAGCCCCTTAACTGTATTTATGAGTAGAAACTAAAAATCCTGACCATTGCTGACGAGTGACATTTCTAATTTATTACTGCTGTAGGGGAGTGACGGGAAGTGCGACGTTACAGATTTCGTTTGATATGCCCAAAGGAGACACAAAATCTCCCGTAAATCTCGAACTCCGTCACTCCCTATGGCAGTAATTATGAGACAATGCCCACTGCGTCAGCTCCCGTCAGCAAATGTCAGTGCATACGGCGTGTTGAACGAAGAAGTGTAAAAATTGTCCAGGAACTCTCAAGTAGTAATGGCCTCTACATAGGAAAAAAAGCTTGAACTGTGAAGCCAAATTGGTGAAAACAATGTGTCATATGCATCTATAATTGTCGATGAGATCTTGCTGGCTCTTCCAGCAATCATGCAACATGGCAATTAAGTTTTCTGAAGGTCAGACTGCTTACATAACTTACACGATTGATTAACGCCATAGTCGCACAGAAACGTAATTAAGCATACTAGTCGATAGTCATCATCATCGCTGGAAAAAATACCAAGAAACGAATTGTTTGTCCGAATTAATAGTAGTGGGGTTCGCAATAGAGGACTGGGCGAAAAAGTCGAAACTTAGCTCAAAAGCGGACGAGTGTGCGCAGTCAAAACATCAGTTTACAATGTTGGCGCCTTGCCAGTGTTGGTCAATTAATCACGAGAATCAAGGTGATAAGTGTCTTGGACGAGTTGTCCGACCCAAGAGACGGCTGCAGGGGCTCGGTGGAGGTGGCAATTACGGCCAGCAGCGTCCCAGTTACGGTATGACAGCTGCCAGCCACGCCATCCGTCATACACCCCTATTCAACTATTACTACCCCAAAAGTCGAACATTTTTTTGCTGAAACTTGCCCACAAAGGTTAATTCGGTGTCCTGGTCACGAATATAGCAATCGTTTCCCGCACTGGCGTCAAATTGGCGTCATTTGGCGCCTGTTTGGCGCCACCATCTTCCTCACCAAAATCTATGTACATTTGCATAGTATGGTTACTTGATATCCTGATCACTAGTATGGTTACTTAATGTCCTGATCACGGATAGCATTAATTTCCAGCCCTGGGGCCATTAGGCGCTGATTTGGCGCCACTTTTTAATACCTTTTTTCATGAAAGTCGATAAAAACTTGCATAATAGGGTTGTTCGATGCCATGATCACGAACATGACATTTATTTTCCCACAACAGCGCCATTTAGCGCCTTCTAACAAGGGAAGGATGGTAGGTCGAAGTGGCCATTTGAAATGAAATGTATACCGGCTGAAAGGTCTTCGGACGGGGATTACGAAACCGTCTTCCATCGTAGGGCTCACGAATGCGTGGTCGAGGGTTTGGATCCTTGATGCGTGTGCTCTTTTGCATTTTTTCGAAAGTGGTCCCTGTGCACTTCAAAGCTATTTTGCATAACTCTTGTGCCTGATAATGTCGTGACGTAATGTTTCTGAACTGATGGAGCCATTGCGAACGATTCCATGGAGAACATTTTCTGTTGTCTTCTTCTTTCTTTGATTTGAAAAGCATACACAACAAAAGTGCATTCCAACGAATGATTTTGCCCTGAAAATGACTTTATTCTCCAAATGACATGACTGGAAACCGAATCCGAAGCCGCACGAAGTTGTGCGCGAAGATGAGTATAGTGGGGAAAATGCTTTCAAATGTGAAGTGATGTGAAAATGTGAAGTGGCGCTAATGTGGCAATCATGCTAGAGACACGGTGGGCAAAATCTTCATTCATCACTCACATAGTGTTGAATGATGTCTATCCCAAAGTGGTTTCGCACCTGCTGGAAGTTTTCGGCTCGTATGACAATCTCTTCAGCCAGAAGTGATCTCCATGAAATCGTTCGCAATGGCTCCATCAGTTCAGAAACATTACGTCACGACATTATCAGGCACAAGAGTTATGCAAAATCGCTTTGAAGTGCACAGGGACCACTTTCGAAAAAATGCAAAAGAGCACGCGCATCAAGGATCCAAACCCTCGACCACGCACCCGTGAGCCCT